AGAGGTGGCGCCCGAGAGATTTAAGTTTACTACTGTACGCCAGTAAGGCTATTTATTTTTCACTGAACCAAAGAAAAATAAATTGAGACTCTTACATCGCATTTATAGTAATTTTTACTAAAATTGCATTCGAATCGCTAAAAGTACTTGGATGAAAATTATAAAAATTCGAAAAAATATTAAAGCGTAACAATTCAGGGCCCGTATTCTGTAACTTTGAAAACGCTAAGCGCTTTTAGACGCTCAGCGTATATGACGTTAATTTTCACTGAGCGCGCACTTAATTAACGATTTCGGTATTCTCGTCTGACGCGCTTAGCGTCTTTACTGATTGCGGTGAGCGCTTTGAAAACGGTTGCCTTAAAGGATCGTTTTGCTTGTCGAACTCAGTGAAAATCGAAAAAATTGTGATTTTGTGCGTTATCTTGCTCTTTAGTGAAAATTACTACTTTTTCTATAAATTCCTCAATAAGTAATTGATAATTTACGACTTGGCAGCTATAAATATTGTTCAAAACATCGAAAATGCTGAGAATCGTCTTCAACACTTCCCTCGTATAATAAGAATAATGACATATCCATAGAAAAACAGCATGACTTAACTCAAAAATAGGTTATGAAATTCATGTAACATTGACATTTTTCATTGTTACATCCGTCAGTTATCAATTTTTGACTATTAGCTACATTAGAAATTGTGATGTTGCCAATATGTGCTCAACGCGTATCCAGAACACGATTCGCATGGCAACGAGAATAACAAAATCGACTGTCTTGCGTTTCGCTGATCGAATACTTGCACTCACCGCTTTGGAAGCGTAACGTTTTTATGTCAAAGTTACAGAATACGGACCCAGAACCTCGAAATTAGTGGAATAAATTAGTGGTTTCATTAGCGTAGAAGTTTGTTCCTTTAATTTCAAAGTAAGCATTCAGAACATCAAAATTAGTGGTTGGCATTTTCAATTAGTAGAAAAAGTTAACAAACTTTTAACTTTTTAAAATTTTCGAGAAATGTCATTTTGGCCTTTTATTATATTCTGTCAAGAGAAATTTTGGTTAGAAATGAAAAGTTAATTGTTTAATAAGCTAAATATTAGGCCTTCTCTATGGATACTTTACCGCAAGCTGTTGCTAGGATATTTTATTAATTTTAATTGTGTTTTTTAAACATTGTGAATGGTCGTAAACCAAAAAGTATAAAGTGTAATGGAATCCACTAATTTACTCCACTAATTTTTCTGACACAGATTCTGAATGAAGCCTAAGATTTTAACACCTTGTAACTAAGAAACAAAGCAAAATCGGACCTATGTTGATATGAAAAATAAATCTTATTTTTGTGGGAGGAATCTCACCACGAAAGATAGCACATGTTTTTTGAAACACCCTGTATTGTCTTTACCTATGGTAATCGCAAAACACAATTTCTGATGCACATAATCAACTTTGAGTGAAAAGCGATGGCGACAGCGCTGCCAGTTTGTGATGGATTTATGAGATGAATCTTAATTCAAAATTGACAAAAAATATAGTTATTATATAATTTTTTTAAAGAGTTTTCCGTTTTATTTTTAATTTAATAACTAATATTTTAGTAATTAATTAATTTACTTGTTTTATAGCTTATTTTACTTATTACATATTTACTAAAACGAGTCCATTATATGAAGATTATTCTAAGCGTTATTGTGGGTTATTTATTTATTTATTGATGTACATCTTACAACGCCATAAGTGGTACTAACAAGTAAGAGGGTGCTATTAATGCACAAACTAATAGACACAGAATTTAATAAAAACTAATTTTGAAAGTGGTATAATGTGCTTATCAATCAAACTTATTTCTCTGACTTCAGTCAAGGGTAATAAAGGACCTTTCGGCCGTTCCAAGGAGAAACACAGTATACCGGATGCGTCTCAAAAGTGGCTCACCCCTATAACTTTTCTATTTTTTCAGATAAAACAACGAGATTTGGTATGTTAGTATATGACATAAATTAGGATTCAATTACATATTCAATTGTTTTCGGTTACTTCCGGTTTCACCGGAAATGACTACAACTTTTAATTTTTAAATGGCACCTTCTGTATTTTTTTACTTTATTCCATAGAAAATGACAGTCTGAATCGAATGACAGATCATATGTCAACTTTTGACATTTTCACATATGGTTTATTTGAAATTATAACATGCGGTTCATAACGACAATTTGACACGAAATGCCAAGTGTATTGTATCAAATTATTCGTAAAAAAATGCTTTTTCCAAATATTCTAATGAGCTATCCTCGTTCCATTTGAAAAAATTGAGATATGAATAAAAATATGATTTGGGCATCTTTTAGCCGGCCAGGACAAGACACTAAAAACATTAGACGATCAAATCTATTTTTCCAAGGCTCCTTGATTAAAAATTAGTGTTTTTAACACAGCCATGGCACTCGATTGAAATTTAAAATGCAATTTGTTTTTGAGCGAATATGTCAAAAGTTGACATATGATATGTCATTCGATTCAGAGTGTCATTTTCTATCGAATAAAATAAAAAAATACGGGTGCCTTTTAAAAATCAAAAATTGTCATTTTCCGGTAAAACTGAAAGTGACCGAAAACAATTGAATAGGTCAATCAATTATTTATGTCATATCGAGGGTCTCACGCCAGAGGGGCGTATGCGCCACTTTTGGCCAAAAGCACTTTTTTACATGAATCGGTACCTAATAGTATGACGCATAATCCCACCAAACAAATTGCAGATTTGTTTTAAATTTTGGCCAAAAAAGCGCAAAATTATAAAGGCGCAAACGCCAATTTTATCAACGGCCGTACGTCATAGAGGCGTATGAACCATTTTTAGCTAAGAAAGGTGGAAAACCTTGCGACGTTAATATCCTTTCTAATAAAGACTTTTTTCACTATAAAACTCTTAAGGACAGTAACTATTTTTTCCAAAATAAGTCCGAAAGGCTTTAAACTAGAAAGAAGTGGGTTAGTTGCGCTTTCAAAAGTCAAATCCGAATATACTTTTTTTTTCAAAAATGAATTTTGGGAAGAGCAATTTCAAGCTGTTAATGATATCATGAAAAGAAAAAGACGCAATGAAAATTTAAATTTTCAGCTAAACCACTCTATTTCTCCAAACTTCCCATTGACGAAAAAAAATATGCCGATCTGCAGTCTCTCTGTCATTGTAAAGACCATACGGTACCTTCAATGTACCACAATTTTTACGATTCAATACCTCGTCACGTAAATAATTCTATTGAAACTGAAGATGATCTGCCACTATCTGCCTTAAGAGCAAAGATGTTAAAAAGAAAAAGGAAGAGAAATTGATATCTACAGGGTTATATTCGAAAATTAACATTTTTTAAATCTCATTTTAGTTTAAGTTTTGTTGTGACTTAGTTTTTAGTACCTAAATTTTTTATTATTTTTACAGGTTGTCCCATTGAAACTTCGGAAACTGAAGTCCGGAGAGCATTTTTAAGACACCCTATACAAATAAAACGTTTAATTTAACCTAAAAATAAGAAACTTTTGTTTTTAAGTTCGTTTTTGTTATTTTAGTATTTTTCGAAAATGCGTAGCAGTTCGTTTTAACTGGGACACCCTGTACATCTTTAAACATATTTTTTTCCTTAAAACTGTTGTAGTAGTAATATTAAACTTGATTTGTTCCATATTTAGTTAACTATGTATTATTATTTCATAAAAATGGTTCATACGCACCAAAATAAGTAATAATTCCATCCTGGCATAAAGGCGTATCAGCCAAATCTAAATTAAAACACCAAATATTTTTAATTTTGAAAAAAATATCATAAACTGTAATTTTTTTTAGTTTTTACCGCCTTTATTTTTTATTTTTTTCAATCCATTCGTTCTCTAACCTTTTTTCGTCTCTCCTGTAAAATTTTACTTTTTTTTATACGCCCCTTTGGCGTGAGACCCTCGATATACTAACATACCAAATCTCGTTGTTTTATCAAAAAAAAAATAAAAAAGTTATAGGGGTGAGCCACTTTTGAGACGCACCCGGTATGCATTTTTTTTATAATATCATTTTTAACATGCTTAACGTACTTGGTCATTATCTATCTATTGTAATCGTAAAAAATTAGATTCATAGCAAAATAACGAAGATACAGAATCAAAAAAACAGTATTTTAAATTTGAACTGTATAACAAAGCAATTTTTACCCTTAATTTCTCACAAAAACATTTTTATCATATAGTGGGTTTTTTCTTTGGACAGCCGCTTAATTGTCACGTTCTCAATTCAAATTGTTTATCAGGGAAGCTACAAGCTCTTTGCTTCGACTGTTTAAATGCTTCGAAATATTTTCAACCCACAATTTCAAGAAATGCAATACAAAAACTCGAAAATTTAGTTCTTAAAAGAACTATTAGGGCTTGAAAGTGCAATTTTTAAAAAAAGACTACCAAAACAGGCAAAAAACGAAAATTGCTTACAACGATTCAACAACAACACGATATTATACAAAATAATGACTGACATTAGGATGATTGTCAAATAATAAAGGACTACACGGCGCAATGTGACCAACATAGCAATAAAAAATTCGGTTTAAACTAATTTTTGTAGCTTTAATCTAAATAAAATATCTGTTAAAATAATTTGAGCGCTCCTCGATATCTTAAATTATACAACAAATTTAAACATTTTTGGCAAAATTTCATTTAGTCAGGTTTATAGACTTTAATGTCAATGTCGATATGATTGATGACGTGCATCGGAAAATATTTTGCGATTACAACATGTGACAATAGCTTATTCATCAAATTTTGTATGATTTTCTACAAATTAATTACAGAAACTAGAACCCAGACTCGATAACATTTTATATACATATCAGCGATATTTTTAGTACAACATTATTTGTCCAAAAAGAAAGTTAAATTTTTAAAACTGTATAAAAAAATACTTTAGGTTTATGGCGACAGGTGGTTAAAAAGCAATGAATGAAATATACCTTCAAGCAGTTTATTTTCCGATGTAAGTTGTTCGTGCATCTGCTTGTATTCCTGTTCCATGTCGACGATCTTAGCCTCGAATTGCTCAGTTTCATTGTGCCTTGTCTCTTGCAGTCCTGTAATTCTTTCCTCTAACTCGTTAATTTCGTTAGTTTTTTCCTGCAGTATACGTTTTAGATAGGTAATAATATCCGACTTGTCCTCGTCCAATTTTTCATTATTCTGCTTCAAATCCTCGTTTTTGTCTTCGAGTTCTTGCGTCAGGGAACGTAATCGAGCTAATTTCCTATTTAGGTCGGCTATTGTAAGTTCGTAAAAAGTTTTGTCGACCTCTGTGAGTGCATTCGGATCGTCTTCGACCAGTTTCTTCTTTTTTCCTTTGCCTTTTTTACCCTTTTTGGCCATTTTGTCACAGTTGTATGAAAGGTTACACGAAAAAACTCAACTTGAAACTTCAAAACCTTTGATTTGTTTGGTTGCTATGGCACAAACTTATATCGATTAGGTAAGACAAAGGAATTACCTGAAGACCGAAAATAACTTGTATTTTTTTGTATTATTTATTTCGTTTTAGTTAACTGGAAATCACAGTTTTTAATATTTTACAAGGGCTGTAAATAAGCCAACATGGACAGGATGGTATAGCGGATGCGTCTCAAAAGTGGCTCAAACCTCTAACTTTTTATATTTTCAGACAAAAAAAAACGAGAAATGGTATGTTTCTATATGACTTAAATTAGGATTGATTGGCGTGTTCAATATTTTTGGTCACTTCCTGTTTCACCGGAAATGATTACAACTTGTGATTTTTAAATGGTACCTTCGATATATTTTTATTTTATTCGATAGAAAGTGACACTCTGAATAGAATAACATATGTCAACCTTTGATATTTTCGCATATGATTTATTTGAAATTGTAACATGCGATTCGTAACGACAATTTTACTCGAAATACCAAGTGTGTGGTACCAAATTATTCAGAACAAAATACTTTTTCTAAATATGCTAATGAGCCATCCTTGTTTCATTTGAAAATATTGAGATATGATTAAAAATATGATTTGGACATCTTTTAACCGACCAGGAAAAGACGCAAAAAACATTAGACGATCAAATCTATTTTTCCCAGGCTCCTTGATTAAAAATTAGTTTTTTTAACACAGCCATGGCACTCTAGATTGAAATTTAAAATACAATTTTTTAAGTAAAAATGTCAAAAATTGATATATGATATGTTATTCTATTCAGAGTATCATTTCCTATCGAATAAAGTAGAAAGATGCCGAAGGTGCCATTTAAAAATCAAAAGTTGTAGCCATCTCCGGTAAAACAGGAAGTGACCAGAAACAATTGAATACGTCAATCAATCCTAATTTATGTGATATTCTAACATACCAAATCTCGTTTTTTATACAAAAAAAAATAAAAAATTTATAGGTGTGAGCCACTTTCGAGTAAATATAGCGCATCCGGTATAGGTTCGTAGCGGGCAATTGTAATCTTTATTTATCGATTTTTTACAGTGTCTTTCGTGAAAATGACTTTACTTTTTATACAGGGAAAACAATCATAGCAATATGAAATGCGTAAATTTACTGATGTCTCGTTGTATGATAATGTCCAACCGTCCACTGAAATACAAGTCAAAAGGAATTATTTTATTCATAGATAAAAGACAGAAATTTGGTAGGGTTTTCATTGAATTGCCAAAATAAATGATTTGACATAATATATCATAATAAAAATAATTTTATTTTATATTAACTATGATAATGCCCACCAAATGTATAATACAATTTCTTAAAATTTATAATAATAATTGGAATTGAAAATCTGAAGTGATAATTTTTTATTTAAAAATGTGTTTCGATGAACTATACAGAGTGTCAGTTCTAAATAGTCCAAAAAAATCAGGAGATCATCTGTTTTTAAGAAAAAATAGTTTATATAGACATGAAGTCTAAAGTACTTCCTTACTGATCTACAGGGTTTTAATACCCTGTAGAAAAAAATTAAAAAAAAATCAAATTTATCACCGTCCGAAACTTGTCTAGATATTTCCTTCAATTTTTGTACGCGGTGTTCGGGTATAAAAGATATTAATTTCCATTAACTTTTGTTTTCTTACTTGAACCAGTGGCGTTACACACCTATGGTTTATTTGATTAAAATAAATAATACGCCACTGCCTTTTTTCGAGAAAATATTATTTTTTTCTAGATTGTAGATATTTTTTAGCAAGATTGATCTCCTGAGTTTTTCTCATAGATTGAACGATTTTCGAGAGAAAAAATAAATAAATTAACTACATTCAACCTCAAAATCGCTAGAATACGAGCAAATATGAATATGGCGACTTATTCGCGATTTTATTTATTTTTGTCTCGATAACCGTTCAATGTACAAGAAAAACTCCAGAGATCAATCTTGTTAAAAAAAGTATTGACTATCAAGAAAAACAAATTATTCTCTCAAAAAAACGCAGTGACATACAATTTATTTTAAGCCAAATAAATTCATATGAACATATGAACATTTTTTCTTAAAACATAAGAAATCAAACATTGAATTTCTTTCGACTATTTAGAAAACACCCATATATTGTACAAATATAATAACAATATTAAGATACCAATTCACTATTTTAAAAACAAAATTGATGTTCCGGAAATCCACATATATAAAATGCTAATGTTTATCTGTATTGTCGCTACTGAAGTAACGACTTGGTCTAGAAAGTTGCTTTTTTTAATAAAAGATAGTTAATTGGCTCTTCTAAAAACTGTCGTCGCCGGATTTTTTGTTTTTCATTTAATTAAAAAAATTTTTTTCCTGATGTCGTGACGGATGCGCCAGGCTTCATCTAGTAGTTTATTAACGAACAAAAGTTTTTAGTCTAGATCTGAATAATTGTTTTCTAAAGACAGTTACCTCGCAAAATTTAGCTCCGTATCTAGGAGCAGGTGAGTCACATAATCTGTAGCGGCTTCTCACGCCTCCGATACATGTGCTTGAACAGGGAGTCCATTGACTCCATGGTCCCCAGCCTCCACGTTCTTGATCTGGAACAGATATATAAATAGCCATTAATTACCTAATAATATACAGATAAAGAAAATCCCATCAAAAAGAAAAGTAGAACAATCAAAAGCGCGCAACGCAATGGGCTCTTTCACTATATTTTGGAATTAGCATAATTGAATAAAGCAATTAATTCTAGAATTTTCTGCTATCTCGCTTTCGAAAAATTTGAAGTCGTTCTTAAGAAATTAAATAAAATCAAAAAAGCCCAGAATAAAAATCCGCGCTTTAATTTTAATACGTCACACCTGGCATGTTGAAAAGCGGCAACACGGCCGGGCCACCATGCTGACCCACCACCACCTCTACACAAGGCTATTCAACCTTTTCCAATATGGCGGAGATAGAAGTGCTTTATTTGGCGCGTATTTTAAAACCTGTTTTATTTCCAAATAGACATTTTTCACACAAATGTCGGGTTAAATTACATAATATTTCACTAATTTTTTTAATATACAGGGAGTCTAAAGCTTTCCACATAAGTATGGAATTTTTTGTATTATTACTTTTATGAAAACATCAGTTAGTTTCTTTTTATAAAAAGGTCTGCTTTCTCAGAAAATAGGTAGGTAGTGTACTAGTGTGTAAATATTCAAACTTGAGGTAGCATATATAGGGTGTTCAAAATCATCGGAAAAAGAAATAACCAGAAATATATGACAGAAAATAGCAATATAAACTAAATATTCAATTGCAAACACTTATCTACCATAGTTTAGAATTTACTGCACGTTTGATAAATATATACTATTATGGACAGTATAGGAAGTTACTTGTCTTAGTAAAAGCCTTGGTAAATGCTCTTGGTGTAAACTACACTGACTTGAGTCAAAAATGTAAACTACACTGACTTGGGACCCCCTCTATAATTTTCGTGACAATTTGGAACCAGAGCATGTAAAAGGTATGCTACAATAAAATGTTAATACCTATCTTTTGATTATTGTAAGTAACCATTATAAAGTACTATGCAGACTGCCGGTGAAGGCTTTTTACTCATTTAGGTGTAATATCTTGATAAATACTTCTAGTTCTTACCTTAAAATAACTAATAATAGAGGAGTACGACAAGCACAAAAGTTTGAAGTTCCCTATGTGGAATGTCTGGTTTGGATTTTTATTACACTGTTATTTTATCACAATTTTCTGATCACACCATGCACTGAACACTAAGAACTAAACAAACGTGTTGCAGAAGCACAACAAACTAGAGATAATTAATTATTTCTGGTATGCAATCGGAACGAGAAACCACTACCGGCTTTTCAGTTTAAAGGTAAACAATTTAATAATGCGCTGCCTTCGCCGCCATATTAACCTTGCCTATATCATGTTGTTTGGCCTTGAGTTGAGGTGGTGCTGGTCAAATCAAATCGCAATGTTGCCAGTTATTGGCTGGCGCACGAGCACGGTTCTGCAATATGATTGGGCGTATTTTTCATACGTCATCAATTGGCGCTTTAAAATTATTTCAAATTAAAGCAATTTTGGGGGCCTATAAAAAAATTATTCCATGTCATGGAACTATTTTTTTTGGATAAATATACTGAAAATAGTCTTCTATTTCAGATTTTGTCCTTGAATTGGGTATTTTATTTTTTGTGAAAGAGCCCATTCTTCCACTTCAACAATTTGTAAGAGTTCATGTCTATAGAAGCACCTATTTAACAATTTTATTATACAGGGTGTCTCTTAAATAAGTGTCAACATTTTCATGGCTGGTAAATCATATCGATGAAAGACAAAGACACATATTTTCTCTTTACCGTTTTTCAAATAAGTCCAAAATAACCGAGTTATTTTACTTTCAAAATTAAAAATGGAATGATTTTTTGCTTAAATTTTGAAAACCACTGGATCTTTTCTGTTTTTTTTTTCTTGGAAATTTAATCTACTACCTATGTTGCCATATTACCAAGAAATTATGTGTGTTAACTTAAAACCAAAAAAAAGTTCCTTCAAGTGCAGTGTTTAGATATATTTAGCAACAGAAATGGCAAATTTCTTTTATAATTTTATGGTGCCGTGCAATTGCTATGTCATTATAAATATTATACCAATAAAGATGTCTAATATTGATACTAACAGTAATATATAACAAAATTGTTGAATAGGTGCTTCAATAGAAACTAAGTAAAATGAACTGACTTGGTTTTACACAAATATAATTACAGACTATATGGTTAATAGCCCATTTAGACAACGGGTGAAAAGTGAAACCAAACAAATGAAATGGAAATATCAATAATCTTGTATAATTCTATCTGTTTGGTTCAACGCGATTTTTATGCGCACGCCTCAAATAAAAGAATCTGATTCGTATACTTCATCGCTGAACGCTGTCACCGGCTGTCACCTTGACCGCGCACTGTTTTAAACTCTGATATAAATAATACAGGGTGCTACAAATTCGAGTTGCGAGTTTCAAAGTTGCGCCTTGGGATGCTTACCAAGATGCCGTCAAAAAAGTTTTATAAATTTCAAGGATTGCTGACTTTTATGGAAAAAACGATTTTTTTGAAAATCAATTTTATTTTTTCCTGTCGTTACTTTTTAGAAAATCAAAAAACTAATTGCACATTTTCTCTAAAAAATTTTCTTTACAAATTTGTCTCTACTGTTTATTGAAAAATGCTTAGAGTAAAAACGTAAATCGCAAACAAAACATAAACTCCAAGATAACAGAAACTTCCCATTTTAAATATATAGGCAAAACTGTGATTATGTCATCTACTTGTCAAATAGAAACCGCCTCAAAAGTTCCGACTTTCTATTTTTTTGTCGAAAAGATCTGAACTGATTGGGCTAAAAATGGCACCTCCAAAACACTTTTCGTGGGTGCCGATGATTTTATCATTCAGTTCAGAATGACTAAGATACGGAAAAATGCAATTTGCATTTTTTGTTCGTTTTAGAGGAATTTTGAGCATTTTTTCTCAAAATTTTTATTATATTTACCTGGGGTAATAAAATACCTACCCTAAATTGTAAAACTGGTAACCAGACAATTATAAAAACTGAAGGACTCGGGAAAAATACAGGGGTTTGGAATTGCCATAATTCGTGGAACAAATAAAAAAAACTGACTGCCTGTTGACAGCCAAACTGACAAAATTTTGACAAAAAAACAAAATTATAAGAATCTTTTCTTCTGCTGGTATGCCTTCCCTCATAATACTATCTGTTTTGGAACACGGGTCTTTTATAATTATTAACAATTCTTGAAAAGTCTCTCTGGACAGTCTGGTGAAGTTAAGAAATATAATACTGTCTTCGATTAGTTCGGTATATAATGTCCAAAAACACCCGTTGTTTTTTCTTTCAATGGTTATGGTATGTATCCAAAACTTTCGGTTCTTTTTTTTTCATTTTGTTATACAACAAGGTAACGGTTGTTAAAAAAACAAATCATCAAGAAAGATGGGTCGGTTCGCGTCTGTTTGGATGCGCGACATTTAAATCGGGTATTTGAAAAAGAATACGAGTTACTACGACCTATTGATGATATTATGAAGTCTTTGTTCGGGAAACCATTTAAAACTAGTCTTGATTTGTCGTCTGGATACTGGCAAATACCTCTGCGCCCAAGCGATAAAAAGTTTAGAGAATCAACAACTTGATGAAAAGATAAATAAATTTGTTCTTAAAAATCAATTGCTTTTTGTATGAGAATCAGACGATGAATCCTACCGTTTGTGCATTCCATCAGAATTTAAAAATAAAATTATTTATGATTATCATGTTTCTTTAGGTCATTTTGGAATTTTTAAAACATGGAGTATTTTAAAGAATGATTTCTGGTGGAAAGGCATGTTTCGTGATATCAAAAAATGCTTAAAAGCGTGTGACATTTGCCAAAAGGCAAAATTGAGTTTATTACCAAAAGCTCCTCTTTCTCCTGTAATATCCGAGAAAAAAAATGAAATTATTAGTCTGGATTTATACGGACCGTTACCCCAGTCTACAGGGGGCGTTACATTCTTATGTGTGATTGTCGACTTATTTACGAAATATGTGACGTTATACCCTTTAAAAAAGGCCACTACCAGAGCTATTTTAAACCGTTTAATATTAGATTATTTTAAAAAAATGGGTAAGCCTGAAAGGATATTAACTGATCATGGTTCGCAGTTTACGTCAAAATCCTGGTCACATACTTTACTACCTCTTGGAATTAAAGTTGTTCATTGTTCGGTAAGACACCCTCAGTCAAACCCGGTTGAAAGATACATGCGCGAATTAGGTCGTCCCTTTAAAACATATTGCTTTGAGCAACATACGGCCTGGGCTAAGCATGTACGGAAATTTGGTCAGTTTTTTAATTCTGTGATGCATGAATCCACAGGCTTTACACCTTCCGAATTACATTTCAAGGAACCGCTTACCTCTTTTACACGAGAACTGGTTGATTATCCTGATAGTCCTAAGGTGCTTAGTTATAAAAAGAAACTTATTTTAGCTAAAGAGATCTTACAAAGCCTCGCTGAACGTCGGAAGATATTACACCCTGGTCGACATTATAAAGAATTTGCTACTGGAGATCTGGTGTTGCTTAAAGCGAACCCCGTTTCTTCAGCCCTATCATCAAAAACCAAGAAGTTTCTTCTTCTTTTTGAGGATCCATATCGTATTAAAAAGAAGGTAGGCCTGTCAACTTATATTTTAATTATGGAAAATACCGACGAAGAGAGAGGTTCCACGTGTCTCATTTGAAGCCTTATAACTCGGATGTGTCAAGCCTAAAAGAGTAAAGCTACTTTTATTTAGACAGGGGGCGGTTGTAGCAGCCGTAACAATGTGGGGAATCTTATTTGGTCGTAGCTCTACCTGGAGAGTCAGTTTTTTATTTAAATCTTTTTTTGCGCCTTGCATATTTGAATTCGATTCTCATTTTACTCTCGCTACTGTACGCTGAAACAACTATTCTTATTGTATTCATTTTATTATCCTGTGGCCATAAAGTGTAAAACTGTACTTTTAAAAGTTAGTAGAAAGGCTTGATAGGTAAGATTGTACCATATATATATATAAAATTTTCCCCCTGCTAAGTAAATGTATAGTATTTTAGATACCAAGAATAAAGAATTTTCGGAGTGTTTTTCGAAGAGTTTTCTTTGACTTGAGCGAACCCCTAACCCTTTATAAGAGTTTTGTTACATCTTTACAAATCATTTGTCGACGGTAGTCGCAGTGCCGTCCCGTGTGTTTTAAAGCCGCGCCGCTTATTAACCACCGAACAACCTCCTCGTGTGTTCTCAGCCTTAGTCACTAAAGACGCTTCACGATAAAAACGCAAAAAACGCTGTCTGTGAGGGCGTGGGCTTACAAAAAGGAAGAACATCGGTCCAGCAGCGTCTTATTAAATATTCGAGTAATCTAAACAACCAGGCGAAGATATACAGGGTGTCCCAGAAATAAGTGCAAATATTTTAACTGGTAGTATAGTTCAACCCCAGAAATATGCCTATGAGGTTTTTTTCGCGAAAAAAAAAATTTTGAAAATTTTTTTAGTTTTTAGTTAAAAAACATTATTTCTTGATAATATGGCAACATATGTATTAGATTAAATTTACAAGAAAGAAAATCCAGAAAAGATCCAGTGGTTCTCAAAATTTTAGCAAAAAATCTTTTTTTTTGAAAATTTTAAAAGTAAGTAAAATAACTCCGTTATTTTGGACTTATTTGAAAAACGATAAAGAGAAAATATGTTTCTTTTATCGAGATCTACCACCCCTTAAAATATTTGCACTTATTTCTGGGACCCCTGTATAATAGATAAAAAATCGTAACTAATATATTTTCATTTTCTGGTAATTCAGGTAATCAGAATCAAAATTAGGAAAAGTTATTGTTAAATATTCATGTTTTGAACCGAATCTACTTAGCAATTTTAACCCTGAAATTTTGTGATAAAACGACGATCAGCAAACAACAGAAAGACAATTTCATCCGTCTAAAATTGCATTAAAACTTTCCTCGCAAACTCTTTGATTTTCCTTTCATTTAGTCGGCCCGAGGAATAACACATAGCGTTTCCACCGAATTTTCAGAATTTAAATTAGTTACTTAACAAGATTTCTGACAAATCCTTTTTAAAAGTGGAGAACGAGAGTTCGCAGTTGAAGTTAATTTGAATGCGACTACGATTTTCAAATTTTAGTAAGAGGCATTTCCAGCCATCAAAGATCGCAGAGAAATAAATTAAAAAAGAACTTACTCGTATTTTTTCCATTCAATAATAATTGTAGATTTTCTTTGTCTTTTTATACAGTTACACAAATCTGCGACAATGTACGATCGTTGATTGAAAGAATTGGGAAGATATGTAACCTAATGGACAAATTCATGACATGTCCGATTTAATTTCCCCTTACCTCTCAAGTGCTGTACGGTGGATCCACCAATTGTTCTGCGGCCAACGCATAAAACGCTTATTTCCCCTAATTCGGCCAGCGAAAGCATTTCAAAGAACGTGTGTAAATGAAAGTGCCATATAATATCTGTAATACGTTTGCCAAAAATATCTTTGGATGAAAAATCCGCGTTTATGTATTGAAAATTTATTCCTACAGAACATAGAATAAACAAGAAAAATAAAATAAGTTATACCTATGTACTGAATATTTCGGAAATTACTATTATTGACATATTATACTATAATATTTTACTAATGAAACAACAGCGACCTTCATTTCTAAGCCAACTCTGGCTGTTTAATCATATAATATTATATTAAATTGTTTAGTGATAGAAAATCCGTATTATTAACTGTACCCAAAATCTGTAAATCTACGGGTTAATCTGTAGTTCTGGTAAAACTGTCTCTGGCAATTACTCACACTGTCGACGAAAAGCAGAACTACAGTACAGTAATCTTTATCCACTGGGAGGTAAACGACTATCAACGCGCAGCGGCGCGGAGCAGAGTTAAACTAAATCTCGGACAAGCTGACGGTAACGCCAGCTACATTTCGGACATGTTTTATTATTTTCTTATTTCTTTAAGTAACGGTACGATAAACATACTGTTAGTAAAAAGTATCAGAAAGGCCTCAAATTCATATCGAGGTATTGAACAAGTACACTGGTTTCCTCGATGTAGATTTGAAACCTTTATGACATTTTTTTAGAGTAAATCAAAATTACTAGTTCTCAGGAGTGATGCTTGCTTTTATAAACACTGATACTTTAAAATATAACTGTACAATTTAAGTTTTTTTTTCTATGGTAACCCTGTAAGAAAAACCAACGAGATTTTCAACAATGTACTATACAATATGACGTCAGTCAATATGACGAATCCTCCGATATGTATTTGAGATCTTATTATTAGTGTTTTTGTGTCTAAGAGATATTTTCCATTACTATTTATCAAATTGCCACGATAAACCGGGTGCGTCTCAAAAGTGATTCACCCCCATAACTTTTTTATTCTTTCAGATAAAAAAAAAACGAGATTTGGTATGTTGGTATATGACATAAATTAAAAATGATTCACGTATTCAATTCTTTTTGGTCACTTCCTGTTTCGGCGGAAATGACTACAACTTTTCATTTTTAAATGACACTATTGGTATTGTTTTACTTCGTTTGATAGAATATGACATTCTGAATAGAATGACACAGCAAATGTCCACTTTTGATATTTTTAATTAAAAAAATAGCATTTTAAACTTTAAATTAGAGTGCCATGGCAGTTATCAAATTATTCGTAAAAAATGCTTTTTCCAAATATGCTAATGAGCCATCCTCGTTCCATTTGAAAAAATTGAGATATGATTAAAAATACGATTTGGGCATCTTTTAACCGGCCAGGACAAGACACGAAAAGCATTAGACGTTTTTAACACAGCCATGACACTCTAGATTGAAATTTAAAATACGATTTTTTAAGCGAGAATATCACAACTTTACATATGATGTCATTCTATTCAGAGTGTCACTTTTTATTAAATAAAGTAAAAAAAATACCGAAGGTGCCAATTGAAAAGCCAAAGTTTTAGTCATTTCCGGTAAAACAGGAAGTGATCAAAAACAATTTAATACGTCAATCAATTCTAATTTATGTTGATATTGGTATATGATGTACTAACTTCATATCATATACTAATATATATGATGTTTTTTTTTTGTTTAGGTATAGACGTTTTTTATATGATGTTACTAACATCATAAACCTACCAAATCTTGTTGAGCCACATTTGGGACGTACCCGGTATATACAACTATTAAACTATTATTAGTAACTATTAAAAATAAATAGGTACTTCTAGCTGAAGGATAAGCTGAAGTTATAATATAACAACTATATTATAGTAGTTTCAAAATTTAAAATGTTCCATTTTGCTTCCCGTATAAATATTTTATAATAGATTTAATAAAAAATATATTCAGTAACATCTATACCTACCAAAAGAAAGTTCCTGAACAAATTTAATACCATACATTTAATTTAAAAATGCACTGCACAAAACAACGTTTAATTTACCTGAAACTGGCAATGTCGGGACACAATCTTCTCGAACATCTGCGACAGCTCCTGATATGCTTTGACTTACGTATATAAAGCAATATTCTACGTATCTCTCGGTAAAAAGGTCACACTCGAAATGTAAGCTATGTTGTCCTCGTATTATCTGAATAAAAGTAAATTAGTTAGTCTCTGTAACTCTAGATAAATCTAGATATGTATTAAAAATCTATAATGAAATAAAAGAGGAGAATGCAGTTATTTTGAAACCATCTCTACAGAATACTTATTCCTTTTTAGACTAACAGAGCGCTAAATTATATTAATAAATAAGTTATTACTAATTCTTTGATTCAATATGGTTTTTTATGTTGGATTAAACAATGTTGACAAAATACAACATCAATCATAATTTCAAATATGTTTAAAATAGGTCTTCTAACTAATGGAATATTTATATTGCTAAAACTTAGGCAGAAAGAACTCATTCAATATCAAATGATGGCTTACTATGTCCCCTCCACCAATTTTAGAACACTAAATCATATTATAATATAGTTTCGTGGAAGTCGCAAAGTATTTAAACATATTTTATAAGACCAAATTTTATTTTTTTTTTTTTCATATTCGAAATTATGATTTTCACATTTGGTTAGGTTAGATTAGGTTAGCACTAGTCATCTGTGTTGCTAAGTCCCCCATGGACCCAAAGTTTAAATAAATAAAGTCAATCCCAAATTATTTTAGTTTAAATTAGATGGTCTAGTGGTTTTTGAATATAAATTACAGCATACTGTCAACTAAAATTAATGAAAATATGATACTGTTTTGAAAAAAAAACTGTCAAACATTAAAGAGTAAATGTTTCCACTTTATGGTTAGAAAAACTTAAATATTGACATACCTTTTGTTCTGATATATATTCTAATGTTGTAGGAGGAGCTAAAGATGCTACATTAGCTCGCAATCTTGCAAATAGACGGACTCTATCTTTATCTGCCAGTATACAAGATGGGTACTGAAACAATACTTTAATTCCTCCGCTATGGGTGTCACAAGGAAAAATGGAATGGGCGTGGACATTAAAAACAAATTGATCACTCCAGTCAACCTGCCAAAAAAAATGAAATTAAAAACGTTTTATCGAAACTCGATTTACCTTACTTTTGTAATGATGAGCAGGACTGGCCTTGGCGTTGGCCTTGTAAAATAACCCAGACCAATACCAAGACCTGTAAGGCTTCCGCAATACCAAGACCTAACCTGCAAGACTGTTGGGGTTTTGAAGTCTTGCATTTATTTCACGTTTGTATGATATAAGAAACTTACTTATTTGTTCAAAATTATTGTTTCAATTTATTACAAATAGTGTTTAGACAGAGTTATTAGACATTATAGCCGGAGAGCTGGCAACATATTTAGAGAACATATTTTAGGCAAGTTAAAATAACAAAAAATTAAAGTTTATTAACTGGTGAACCCAGAATCTTAAGTCGGGCTGGGGGTTTGCGGGTATTTTGCTACTACGCAACCCCTTATATTTGCAAAAAAAATCCAAAAAATATCCTTTAGGCAACTTGAAATTTGTTTATTCTTAAATTTTAGCATCTACTTAATCCAGAAATAAGTATGCCAGACTTTTTTTTCGAGTTTAAAGTGTAACCCGACCATCCCAAATATGTTTAATTATTATACATCGAAAATTCACTTTAGGCATTCTAAATTTCTTACAGCGTGTTTATTAGATAATATTAAAAAATATTTTTTAAATGCCAGACGAATTTCAACGGTTTTTAATACTTGCCTGACGCGAATAAAGATTTTAAATGAGCGCGACAAAAAAGTCTTATGAGTATCTATAAGCGCGAGAAAGATAGTTTATTGAGACTCGTTGGCAGCAGACGCGGCTGACGTAACAGTATTTTACACTGTTTATTTTTTACTTTTACACTGTTTATATTAGTGATGGACAAAACTGTTATTTTTAGATAACAGTTGAAACTGTTATAGTTATTTATAAAAAACAGCTTAAAATAACAGCTTAAAAATAACAGGTTTCTTTATTTTATTGTTAAATATCTGAAAGAGTATGAGGCGGTCACCGCCAGGCGTATTAACGGCAACTATGACGCATGACGTGCGCGGTGGTAGTATTTCCAGGGTGTCAAAACATTTCTAGATATCGATTGTTAGCTAACATATCTCTCTAAAAACGGTGGCTGTTTACAAATAAGCGCTGTTTACAAATTGCGATATAAAAAAGCCAAAATGCCGCCACTTATCTATACCTATACATTCCGATCTACCTACGTCCTGCCCCTCGATCCGCCTGAATTGCGTAGCAGTGTACAGGGTTCATCTCACTCGACGGGCAAGAAGCTCGGTATTTATTTATTCTGAAAATTTTTCAGAATAAATAAATACCTAAATATTGAAACTTAATAACTAAGTACTGAAACATAGAGCGCCATAATATCTCGACCTGCGCCCGTTATGCTCGTAACAGGTTGAAAAACAATGTATCTAAAACAACTGATGCGTTATTCTCCAACCTGTTTCGAACCTCCATCGAGAATCGACCGATGCGGCAGCGTTACTTTCCTACTCCGATTATCTCGACCGCCGCCTGTTATGCCCGTAACAAGTTAAAAAAACAACGTATCTAAAATGACTGCTTATTTTCTATACGTTATTCTCCAATCCGTTGCGAGCCTCCATCGACAATCGACCGATGCAGCAGCGTTCCTTTCCCACTCCTGTTACCTCGACCGCCAGGCGTTATGCCCGCAACTGTTTCAAAAAAGCTGCTTCTTTTATATCCTATTATTTTTAAGCTGTTGCAAGCCCAACACGACCACCGACCGATGCCGACCATTCGCCGCCGTAGCGCATTTCCCACTCCGTTGTCCGTTGTATCTCGCCGCCTGTATCGCTGGTTGTCGAAATAACATGTTTTCTATACATACTAGTTGTTTTTTGGAATTACTTCGAGCAGCATCGAATTTCGTGGCGGTGCAGAGCGCCGACTTCGGCGCTCCTGACTTCTTTCACGAACGGTCGATCTCTACGTGTCGTTATTTTATATCTGTTATTATTTAGAAGTAGTAACGTTTGCGTTATGGTATTTCTAAATAATTGTTATAAAATAACAGAAAGTTAAATAATAACCCATCACTAGTTTATATGCTATCATCTGTTTCATCAAAGTCGAGTTTAAGAAAAACAATATTTTCGTCATAATTACAATATTAACATTCATAATCAATTATCTGATAATTTTAATTGTTACTTTAGAAATTATAGTTAAATTATTGATTCATAAAAAAATCAAATTTAAATCAATAGAAATCTAAAATTTAAAACTTTTATTTTAATTTTTTTTGTTACAGTTAACTTTTTTAAAAAAATGTGTCAGTTGTGGCAATAATGTATAATAAAAGTTTGACAAAAGACAGAAGTCAGATAAGAAAAAAAAGGGTCGCCTAAAATACAGATCGTTTTCCATACTTCCAGTTTTACTAAAAACTTATAAAATAAAGCGTTTTCTATATTATTTTTGAAGATGAATGAAGATGTTGATGGTTTAGGAAGTGAATTTGAGGATTTCAATGTCTGTTTCTTCATAACAACTGAAAAATTCCTGTAGCACTTTGTATGGTACCCTTTTGTCGGGGATACATTTTCTGGTAATACCACTTCTTTGAATTTTAAGCCATGTTGTTGGCACACTTTTAAAAATTGTTTGCAGTTGCCCGACTTAGGATTCTGGGTTCACCAATTAATAAACTATACATTTTTAGTTATTCTAGCTTGCCTAAAATATGTTCTCTAAATTGTCGTCAGCTCTTAGGCTATTAGTTACACACCAATATTTTAATAATTTCTTTCTTTAAAATTTTATTTGCATCCAATTACTAAAAATACTATAAGACTTGCAAAAGCCTTGCTGCAAGGCCAAGACCAAGACCGCTTATTAAATACAAGATCAAAACCAAAGATGTTTTGATCTTGGTTTTGCATTTGCTCATCACTTCACTTCTGTCAACGTTTTATGTTTATCATTTATAATTTACCTTGCTATAAGAATTTATTCTATATCTACTAGATAGTTTAGGGCAGTTTAGGTGCCTGGTGGAACAAAATGCCCTAAAGCTGATTTTTTGTAGTTAGTTAGCCATTGTGATCTAGATTAACATACCCTAAGTCTCTGACTGTGCAAGCCACCCAAAAATCATCCCTAGTGATACAATTTTTTAGTTTTTGCTAAATATCTCTGATAGGATCCACTTCATCATTTAAAAATTTACAAATAGAATTTCTACAAGACACTTAAGTAAATAATAAAAACAATATTAACTATAATTTGGACCAATTCGATAATAGATAATAATATCATAAACTAACACAAAAACTAATACTATCACTACATGATTGTATTTGATATATCCATAACAAATTTACAGTTGTAGAATGTAGAATGTTAGGAGAAGCGTTAATCACGATATGAAATCAGCATCTGATATTGATGCTGTAGAATAAAAAGAGAAGTTTACAATAGTTTTTCTTAAAGTGGTTAAAAAACGAAGTTTATATAGTATTGTTACTGATTGATTCACCCCTATTTTAGTCATTGCGATTGAAAAACACAGATTACCTTAACCTCTAGGTCCTGTCTGTGCTCCAAAAGCCTGTTAGTGATTTTTTTTTCGCATAATAAAATGGAGGATGTTATAATGCCTATTTTAGTTTGTAGCAGTTTCATCAAGTTTTATATACAAATAATGAACATTAAATTAAAATCAAGGTGTCCGGTGGCGTAGAGGTACAGGCTCTCGTCTACCAATCTCAAGGTTGTGGGTTAGAATCCTACAGCCGCATTTCATCAATCGACTATTTTTAATAAAATAAAAATAGTTTAGGTACCTAGGTCGGCTCAGCCCTAAACGAGTACTTGTGATTCATAATTCTGAGGTAATAATAGGCGGTTGAAGCGTAGTGCTAGCCACATTACCTTCCTTGTATACCGAACGGCTCTAGCATGGCAAGCTGTACATTGCTACTCCCAAGGCGTTAAAAGCTATATACGGGAGCTCTTATTATTAAATTAAAATCAAATAATAAACATAAAACTGCTACGAACTAAAATAGGATTTATGAAATCAACCATTTTATTTTAAATGAAATAAAAAAACAATGAGCTTTTAATCCGATTTTTCCTATATAGGAGGAAAATAAATTTAAGAATTTATTCATTATTCGCCATATAAACAGGGAATTTGAGCAACGTAAGAAATTTAGAGTTACGGGTTTAATCAAATCATACACTTATTTTTGATTTTGTAGGTAATTTTATAAGAAATAATTTTTGATATCAATTTTTTTAATAAAGTTGACCGTATCGGAGATATTTAACAAAAACTAAAAAAATTGTATCTTTAGGGGGTGGTTTGCACAGTCGGAGAGATGGAGCCTTTAAATATGTCCGTAATATGGACCACAATGGCTAACTAGCCCCAAAAAAATCAGCTTTAGGGATTTTGTTCCACGACCACCATATAATTGAAAATGTGTCCTGAACTAAGACAGCAGTAGTGATGTGAGGTGGGAGTGCTTATTTTTTGCTTAATTTTTTCCCCTCGAATCTATTTTTTCACATTTTCCAATTTTTTGCTGTTAAAATATTTTGTTTCTAATTTTTATATAAACTTTTAATTGCATTTATATGCATATCAAGACTATCGGTTTAACAAAGTAATTAGACTTGTACTTAAGGTAAGAATTTTAACTTTACCCAGGGATAAACACATAAGGTTATATAGAAAGCTCACCACAAATTAAACATTTTAATTAAAAAAACAAGGTACATTTTATTAAGTTTTTATTTCAAATTCACGTTCATTTATTGACAAATTTTATACATAAAATACTCGTATGCTCCGGTTTAAAGGCTTTTGATATATTTTCAATATTATGTCAAAACATTTGCGGAGCCGAAAATAATTAAATATTATTCAACGTTCAAAGAACTTTTGACGAATATTTCGTTATTTTTTAGACATCAGTTAATTTAGTGGAATATTTTTAACAAAAAAAAATAGAAATAAAATATCAGCTATAGACAAATTGAGTATTTGATTTTGCTGGTGTATTGAGGTGAACTAGTATTTTATCTTGCAGACAAATTAACGGAACTAACGAAAAATATTGTAGATGTTCCGTTTTCAACCAATATTATTGTGTACCCAGAATGTATATCTTTAAAACATGCAGATTTAACAACAGTCATAAGTAGTGTTATGGGATTCAAAAATAGACAATGCTAAAATATATTATAGACGTAATTGCCGAACCATTATGTTTTGTTGTAAATATCTCTATTAAACATGGCATTTTTCCTGATAAAAATGAAAACTGCTATTATTAAACCAATATACAGGGTGATCCGAACTGTATTCCGGAAACTTCGGCAGCTTATTCTGCAGATAAAAATAAGTAAAAAAGTTCGTATAAATGTATGTCCTAAAATGCTTAGTTTCGGAGATACAGGGTGTAGAAATTGCATTTTTATTTTGATTTTTTTCAAATAATTTCTGAAGTAACATCAATATTTTGATGAAAATTGGTGTTTGGGAGTTTTTTGGCATGAGAAATTCGATTTTGATGTCAATATGACTCCTACTTGTAGAGGGCGCCACCTACATATTTTCTAATTGTTTTGAAGAGTAATAATTTTTTGTCCGTACCTGTATAAAACTACTGAATAAAAAAATATACATCTCGTAACTTTTTACGTAAAAAATGTCTTCTGGTAAAAATCGCTACGAGCAACCGTTCTCAAGATATTTAGAATGGAAATATTCAATGCATGTCATTATTGACAAAAAATAAACACGTTGTTTGACTGGAAAAATAAATTTGAGAAATTTTTATTTTTTTTTAAATTAATCATAAATTTTTCTGCGAAAAAATTATGATAAAACAGTTTGTGTTGAACTTTTGACACAGAAACATTTCACATTTATGATTTCAGTCTAATAACTATTTAGTCAACATGTTTAATTTATGTCAATGATGGCAGGTTTTGATAATTTCGATTCCAAATATTTCGAGAAGCACTACTGGTAACGATATTTACCAAGAGACCTTTTCTACATAAAAAACGTCGTAAATGTATATTCTTCTACTCAGTAGTTTTATACAGGTACCGACAGAAAGTTATTACTCTTTAAACCAGTTAAAAATATGTAGGTGGCACTCTCTACACGTAGGAGTCATATTGACATAAAAATCAAATTCCTCATGTCAAAAAACCCTTAGACACCAATTTTCATCCAAATATTGACGTTACTTAAGAAATTATTTTGAAAAAATTGAAATAAAAATGAAACTTCTACACCTTGTATCTCCGAAACAAAGCATTTTAGGACATACATTTATACGAACTTTTTTACTTATTTCAATGTGTAGAATAATCTGTATAATAAAGGAGATCATTCAAGTATCGACAACAATAACTTTATTATCTTCATTCTCAAAAATATTCGAGAAACTAGTATTTAATCGACTTTTGGAATTCATGATTAATACGAATCAGTTAAATGACAGTCCACATTCACATCTAAAAAATAAATCAACAATTACGGCCTCATTCAATTTTATTAACGAAATTATTATAAATTTATGGGAGCACAGTTACACTTACACGATATTTTCGTAACTCATGTAACATCAGATGAAATTACAGTTAATACAGGAGTGCCCCAAGGAAGTGTCATTGATCCAATATTATTTATTCTATATATAAATGATATTTCCGAAATCTTCCAAATAAAAATGACTTGTGTAAGTTAACTTCTTATGCTGATGACATGAACTGGCTAGTACAAGCCACAGACTTCCAGCAATTGCTTGGTAGATCAGATTCAGTGTTGAATTTGACAAGCGATTGGTTCTTGAAAAACTACTTGATTTTAAATAAGGAAAAGACCAGCGTCATTTTATTTAAGTAAAAAAATGCATCCACAATCGAATCGGATGTAAAATTCTTGGGTCATTTTTTTTAAATCTGTTTTTTTTTAAATCTGTTTTAAATGTACAGAATCTGTTTTAAATGTACAGACACAATTAAAAATGTCTGTACATTTAAATACTTGGGCGTCATTTTTACAACAAATGGAAAAAGCACTCAAGATATTGCAAACAAAGTTGGTCAAGGAAAAAGAGTTATCGGTCAACTTAACTCGTTGTTGTGGAGTGACAAAATTTCCCTAAAAACAAAAATTCTACTTTATAGAGCCATTTATGGCGCATACTACTAAGTTCATATAAACATATTCTCTAAAATGCTCCCCGAAGAAATTACAACCCTCGAATGGTTAAATAAAAATAATATATTTTGTTTATTAATTATTTATTAAACACTGGTAAACCGTTTTCCTTGAAATTTGGTACGCTTACGCACATTTTCATGCCAAAGCGAATGGTGATAGTCTAAAATTCCGTAACAGCCCTGAAAAGGTATTTTCCATTAGGGTAGAGAATACAACTGGTGGTACTTCTTTTATCCTTATAGATACGTAATTTTAATAAATGAAAATTAAAGATAGGATTTTTTATGTAAAAAAGGCACTCTTCTTTTAGTTCGAAACAGTGAACGGTTTTCAAGATATTTGCGGTTAAAGGTTCCGATGCATCGATTTTAGCATTAGCGAAATCAGGAGATTAATTTATTTAAAATTTCTTTACATTTTATCATTTCACTAATACTAAAATCGATGCAAACTTTAAAATCAAATATCTTGAAAACTGATCACCGTGTCGAACTAAACGAAAATCACCTTTTTTAGTAAAAAAGTCCTAGCTTTTTTGTCATCTGCGTAGCATTGAAATTACTGTATCTATAAGGATAAGTACCACCAGTAGTACTCTCTGCCATAATACCTTTTACACTAATGCCATTCGCTCCGGCATAAAAATATGTATAAGAGTACCAAATTTCAACAAAAATGGTTTAGCAATGTTTTTAAAAATAAACAAAATATATTATTTTTATTTACCCTTTCGAAGGCTGTAACTTCTTCATGAAGAATTTTAGGGCATATGTTTATACGGAATTTTGTTTAATTTTTATCTCTAGAATCACCCACCGAAGTTAGATACACTATTATCAATTTTTTGACACCCTGTATAAATAAAGCTAAAAAATGTCCTAGAAAATATATTTTCGTAATATTAAGGCAGTTAGTAGATATAGTAGCATGTTTCTTTTAAAAAACTGAAGAAGACAAACCTTTTTTACTAAAGAACTAACAAATGCAGATAGCAAATAAGTTTCATTGATTCTAATGATTAAATATTCATTGTGTAACAAGCGCAATATGAGTAAACTGATTTGGCAGCTCACAAGTTTATCTATTATACCTTTTTTGTTATTATGATATGTAAAGTAGAATCTTTAATTGTTGTACTTAAGACCAACAGAGTTAAGTAAGCTTGACTGGCCCAGTTATTCAATATTTCCATGAAAAAAAAAACATATTTTTGTAACTTGTACAATGCCTCTTCAAAGCCACGAACTACTTCTCACTATTGATCGGTTTCTTTCACACGCAATTCTATGCGAGTAGCTGTGTTAATCCGTAACTGATAATTAATTGTCATCAGCAAAAAATCTAAGATCCCTCATCTGCTGCTTTAATTGCTGCACTATAGAAGGAGAATATTCCAATTTTCGATTTGCAAGGCTTCGCAACTGTTGGCAGTCTTACATTGTGTATCCATTACTATTTAGTTATGTAGGTATTATAAGACTAAAAACCAGGAACTCTTTTCAGAGGTAACACTTTGTCTGATGGCATTGTTCTTTTTTAGATGATCCTCTTTTTATTTTATTTCTATATCAACATGGAATTTCAAATTCATACATTTCAATTTCAATACTTTTATATTAACCTAATAATTCTAGAAAATGAGCTAAAACCAATAAATAATTTTTATATTATTGCTTTGTACACGACCTTAAATATTTTCTAAATTTCCATTTTATTTGAAAATATTTTAGTTTGCTAATATATATGTAGAAAATAATAATTATAAAAATTATATACTGCTATATTTGTTGCTCAAAAAAAAATCTGTTTAACGGCGTAAAATCCATAATAAATTCTCTAATTTATATTACCTTAACATAAGCTGCTGTTCTCGGTAAAGCCGGATCTGGATTCGTTGGCCGTAAAAATACTGCATAATGGCCTGATAAGCCAAAAAGTTCACACCTTAAAATAAAAACGCTTTTGCCAGGTAATCCTCGGACTTGCTCGGAATATAAAACCTGAAAACAAACAGAATATTTGCTTGAAAATGTTCTATCTACTATATTTTTTGACTAACCATAAATTGAATAGGTACCTAAATTCTCCATGATTTAATAATTCTTTTTGATTATATCCCAAGTAGTGACATAAGTTCTATACGGTTTGTATAAGGACTACTATAATAACAATTTTATAGGATATTGAAATTCTTGTAACGCACAAATAAACAATTATGTAAATGATTCTTAAACGGATCCAGACCAAGACGAACACGTTAGATTACCAAGTTTCAAAAACACGAGCTAGCAATGTTCGCTACGGCCGGCATTCACAGCTAACATTTTTTTTAAATATTCTAAATAAAATAATACCGTTCGTGTCTGTAAACTTCAAAAAAAAATAATGTTTGTCATCTTCAAAGGGAAACAACAATTTTGGACTAGAAACACTCTTTTAATAAATTCATTAACTACCATCTTCTTATCTACGCTACCATCATCAATTACGCTTTTTCTTCTCGTCAAACGAGAATGTTATATATGCAGAATTAATATCATCATCACTACTAGAAAAAGACATTGTGGTTTTTCTCCAAAATACCTAGGAAAATATCAGAAAATAGCAAGGAATTTAGAGAACTGGCCTCTGTGGATCCGTCTCAGATACTGGCTTTTGTCAAAGTACTAAGTGGGAAAACACAATAGATCTGTAAGATAGCGGTGATTAATCCCCCTCCTAAACATTCTAAATTCTACAAGTATTGGAATAGAAAATGTTATCAGCGACATCGACAGCGTCGTGAAATAGGTCTGCTCACTATTTTATCTCTCTCTCTGCTCATTAAACTCTTGGGTAACATCATAAAAATATATAAGTATTTAAATAATATTGTTTCGGAACATATTTTGTTTTCAAACTTTGTTAGCTTATAATTTCATCATGGTCTGGACCCCACTTAACAATAAGGGACAATTTTTAATACAAATAATTGATAATAACATAAAAAAGTGTATACAACTTTTAAACAATTGTTTTATGTAGCTTTATACAGCTACTGCAAATAGTTTTATAATCATTATTTTAAAAGTTTAAAAAAAATATCGTGCGAAATATTAGAATGAAGTAATATTTTAAATGTGTTAAGAATTAAATGTAGTTTGTGCATTTGTAAGATCAAGTCTGCTAATGACTGACAACTCGGGCATGAAAATGGCGTTATACAGGGTATCACAATATTCCGTTGACATAGAACTACTATGTATTTTTGGAATCAAGTTCATTGGGCACAATTTATCTCTATACGAAAGACCGCTAGATGGTATCCAACTTAAAAAACTTTTTCAAACTTAAAAAGCACATTTTTCAGCGATTTTAAGAACCTAAACGTCCTCTAACCCAGTGTGAGTACATATTATCAAAATTTATTTCAATTTCAATTATTGTCCTTTTTACCCTCCTTCAAAGGTTTGCTTTGATTTTAAGAACCGTTATTCCGATTCGAATGAGATTTTGGGTCACTATGTTATGAAGTGCTTTAACATTTGGCATTTACAAAATTCAAGAAAAAGTACAGGAAGGGTGAAAACTACCCTCACGCCTACATAAGTTTTAGTATAATATTTTCCAACTCCATCGACAACAGATTTTCTTTTCGTAAAATGGCCACTCTAGTATTTACTACATTTTTTGTCCCTGGTATAAAAATGCTATATCGCATAGTTTTTGTGAAAAAAGATGTTTGAAGGATTTATTTTTCCAAAGCGACAAAATATACAGGGTACAAAAAGGTGTTCAAATATATCGTGGACATAGAATAACTAGGTATTTTTTGGATCAAAATAAGTTGATTGTACATAATTTACTTTTATACAAGAGTGCTTCGTTTGTCCGTTAGAGGGCACCAATCAAATACTTGTGATACTAACATAAAATTCTATATTTTCGCCAACCCAACTAGATAATTGGAGTTAGAGCATTGTCATGGTAACGAAATTTTTGAAATGAGACTCTTCTAATATAATTATTAATTTTTAAAGAAAAAAAAACGGAAGGTTTAGGTTTAGGAACACGATATATCGTTGAAAAGCTATTTTATTAGTCTTGATTTTGAAAAAATATATACATAGGGTTGAATTTAAAATAACAAAGATTTGGGGAATTTTATAACAAACGGAAATAAACTTATTTTTTTGTTTTCCCTGTGTAATATCCAATCAGTTGGTTTAGATCAGAGATATGGAAGTGGGAGAATGAGCTTCGACGAGTGCGCATCCAAATTTTTGTCGACGGCAAGATGGCAGACATCTTCCAGGTCTCGCTGTCACTTTCCTTCTTTAATTGTCATCGACATCTGTTTGTTTTTTTTTCGTTTTTGTTGTTATCTAGTTAAAATTTATTATGATCTCAGTTATTCTAAACACTAATTCAAAAAGGCTTGTTGTATATTGTCATAGTCATTCTAAGAAAGCTAATACGCCGGGAAAAATGATTAGTTTTCATGTGTAAGTTTATACCACATAACCGTGTTTTACAGATGATCCAAAACTGTTTATTTTTAGTTTTCTTAAAGGCGATTTGTAAAAATCGTGATTGTAATTGGGAATGGTAAAAAATAAGTGTGTCATGTGGCCATTTAAAGAGTTTTATTACGATGGATGTTTTTATTACGTGTGGAGGAAGAAGATACTTGGAATCAATGTTCAGTGCTTTTGTAAAACAGTGCACTCTTACTCTTATAGTGTCCATGAAAGCACAAGGTCAAGTGTACCAGAAATATGTCAAATATTGTATCACTCAGGCAAACAGATTGGTCCTTACTTGACAAGAAGATTATTTGGATTAAAAGAAAACATAAGATAGGGTATTTTAATCGAACAGCGAAAATTTAACATTTTTATTGTAAAGTTTGTTGTAGGTAGTTGTAGTTTTGTGCTAAATATTTCTAACATTAACAGCAGCAGTGTTCAGAGTGTCAAGAGGAGAAGAATTCAATTAATTAGATTTATGCACAGTTACAGGTATGAAGGCTTTTTCAAACATAGTATCGAGTTCTAAAGTCAACATTTTTAGTATTCCTACAACTGTAAAAACAAGGAACATTGGACTGAAAAAATGGCAAGATTTATATAGGAAGAAAGGGTATTATGCGAATAGGAAAATTAATCTGTAGGCAGAAGTTTCTTATTTAAAAACTGTTATGGGGCATATATTAATTTGTATCTGTGCCACAAATCACTGAGAAAAATCATATGGTATTCATAATTGTTAATGAGATGATATTTAAAGAATGTTAAAAATGAGACTATTAGTCATGAAGTTTACCCTTTTACTTTAAGAGTGTTTGTTTCAATATTACACTTTTATTCTTGTAAAATCTATGATGAAGTTCAAAAGCATTTTGCAATGACCTTAAATTGTGAGCCAGGATTTGTAGCAAAGGTATTTGAGGAAAGGTATTTGATGCAGTGAATCTTAATCAGTACCTTCCAGTATGTATTTTAGTAAGGGGATTCTCAATCTCATGTTTTTAAATAGATAAATACAGGTCAAAGTATTACAGTTGAGAAGAAACTATTTTATCTTAAAAACTTTTCTTAAAATTCTGAGTTCATATCTAATTTTCTTAATAATAAATTAGGTATATGTATGTTGTACATACAGAATTTTGTTATAGACAAATAAGGATCGGCAAGCTTCTTTTGTGCAAAAAATAAATTATTTTTTCTAGTATTAGGACAAACCATAATGTGTTTTACAAACTTACTTTTACAAACAGTTTTTTTTATAATAAAATATTTAGGAATAATTTGGGTTGTTCATCAATATATTAATGACTTGAATTTTGACAAATTGAATTTGTATCAAAATAATTTTACGAAATATAAAATTGATGTTCTATTACAAGATTTAAGAGTTTTTATTGTCGACGAAAACCAGGATAAATACTAATAATAATATCCTTAATAAAATCAATGATGTTTATGTATTATGAAAATATTTGTTAGAGAACATGTTAATGTAACAGTAATACCGTAGGTATTTGAAGGGACGAATCAAAAAATAAAATAAAACAAAAACATATTTTTCCTGGTTTATATTAAAAATAAAAGGTAATCATGAAAAATAATTATGAACCAAGTGTTTTATGAATATACAACTTGAACAAAATGTTGTTTAGAACAATTTTTACCATATTTGCAAAAAATTTTAAATTGAAACACGTAATTCAGTACATAAGTAACTGTAAGTAAACATGAAATAATTGTAAATACTTATTTAATGGCATTTCGAGTGTTTTACGACTAAGAAAAGGTCATCTGTCCGTAGCGTCTTTTGTCAGAATATTCGTATATTTAGTGTTTTATATACCAATATTGTACACAATTTTGAAACTGATGTTAATTAAATAAATCATATTAATGTTCTACAGCTATATATCTACTGATAGGTATTTATACATCCATAATAAATGATAGAATTTCACTAAATTTAAATTGTATGCTTGAAAACAGCAAATTGATATTTGATTACTTATAGATTACCACCTATATACAAAATGACACGGAGATCTGGAATATGGCGCCCCATTTGATTAGACCTTCTGCGCATGTTGACGCTCATTCTCTATCCCTTCTATATCTCTGGTTTAGATAGATCGAACAGTGCCTTCTATTAAAAGATCAGCCTAGGGGCGGACTTTTGTTTACTTCATCAGCTGTACATACTTAGATATTGGGTTAGATTCCGTTTCATATTTTGTCGGTTGATTTTTGATTTTAACTCTTTGATTTTTGGTATTATTTATTATTGTAGTGCAAAAAACTAATTATTTTGGTGTTGAAGTGACATAAACTACTACCAGATATATGGTCACTCTCGGTTTCGCATAAAAAAATAGAAATTTTAAAAATTACACGTTGTGTAAGTGATTTAACCTAAAAGTGCCCATACATTTTTTACTTATCGTGATTTTTGTGTGTGTTTTTTAAGACTCTAACAATTCATCAATAAAGCTTAAGTGGAGTGTGTTTTTGGTGCTATGCCTCATCTTTGTTGTGTTCCTGGTGGAAAGGATAGTTACTAAGGATAGTTATTATACTAGGCAGCCTAAAGTGTCCGGAAGAGCAAGAAAAGTGGGTACGAGTTATAAATCAAGAGAATTTTATTGAAAATATCTTTAGTAAATTTAAAAATAATATTCTCCCATGATGGTATTAATGAAAACTGGACAATTATGTTTATTTTATTCATATTGTGGAATCTCCACTCCAAGTGTTGCTGGTTCAGCTTCGATAGATTCAAACACGTAAGTAGGTATTATGATCTAGGGAAAAATAAAGAATATGTGTATTAGAGATCATGAAAGAGATTATTATTTTGAGTTCAAATTTTAAAAAAGATTTTTTTAAAGACAAGACTGATACAGTTTAAAAGAAGAATGTGTTTTTGTTTGATAATATATAATGTATGTTAAGCATAACATATATTTGTTCAGTAATTTTTAATGAATAGTATTGATTATTTATAATACCAAATTAATATCAAATATTTAAGTGATGGCTGAATACAATATGAATAAAATAACAATAAAATTGGTATATTTGCATAATACAAAATTAAGTTTTAAGAATAAAGGTGTTACTAAAAATACTAAGAAATTCATATTTCTTTGTTTTAATTGGTCTAATGTTATTTACATTTTACGTAAGAATTATACCGTATCATCGAAAAAAATCGGCGTCTAGTTGGCTTGGAAATGAACATCGATGACATTCCCTAAATAACTGTACACATAAAATAATTAACTAGAATTTTACAATCTTGGAAAATTTGATATTCTTGAACCTTGATTCTAAATATTCTAAATTTTTTGATTTTCTTGGAATTTTGGGTTGGGAAAAAATGCTGATTAATTTTTCATTTGGTTTTTCATTATTTTTATTTGGTTTAAAAAAAAACGGTTCGGCTAACATTATAGCCTCCATCAGTGTTGTGTCATATGAAAAAAATAGTGTCGAATATAATCCAAAAATTGCATATAAAATATTCACACCACGCACATAATGTTTACTGCGTACTCCATAGTCAATGTAGATAATTTTAGTGTTAAGAATAATAATTTTAAAAAATATGTGGTCATCTTTTGATAAGTTTATATTAGTTTATTAATTGCAGTAAACATTATGAGGTGTGAATTATATTGTATATGTAATTTTTTGGATTATATTCGACACCAGTTTTCTCATATGACACAACACTGTGAAGGCTATAGTTAGCCGAAACGTTTTTTTTTAACCAAATAAAAATAATGAAAACCCAAATGAAAACTTAATCAGCGTTTTTCCCGAACCTAAAAATCCCAAGAAAATCAAAAATTTTAGAACAATTTAACATATAAAATGCCAGCGATCTTCATTTCATAGCCATCGCTGACGCCTTTTTTTAGATAATATTGTATTATTTGTAAATATAATTTTTCGAACATTGATACTTGCAAAATATACATATAAATTTTGTGAATGCAAATAATAATACATCACTATTAGTAGATATTAAATGTTTTTTGTTAAATTAGATCGATTTTCAAACCCCAAAATTTAAAATATATTTATATTTTACCCATTATCTTATGTACCTATACATTATTTGTACATTGTAAAACATTTGCTGCATTTGTATGGTTCATAGTTTATTTGCCAAAGTATTTATTACTATAAATAGGTATATATGTTGTAGTTATTAACTGTATATTATGAATATTTCATTTAAACTATATCATTTTTAAAATACAAACCAAAAATCTGAGGAATAATTATGTTTTCCATGTATTCTACAACATATTTATTAATCCGTTATATCTAACTAGCGTGACGTCATAAATCTCGCCCGTAGGCTGATCTTTTAATAGAAGGCACTGGATCGAATATACCGACTTTCGTTAATTTGTAATCCAAATTTCAACTTTTAAAATGTTTAATTCATGAAATGTTCAATCATGATTTTACCAATACTTATTCATATTTTTGTCAATTTTACACATGTTCTATTTATTATCTCAAAAAATGTTAAGTTATATTAATATAATATGAAAATTATGAGATATGAAAGTAGTTTCCAAAAATGTAATAGTATACCGGGTGTTTTTATTTACTTTTTCATTTAATTAATAATAATCATTTCATTTAAAATAAGAAAGATGCTACAACTTTTCAAATGGCACGGCAACATTGTAACGCTGAAAATATATTACATCGATGGAGCAGGTGTTTTTTTTTTAAACTCAATATTTCAAAAAATTTCTATCACCGCACACATAGCAAAATGCTATGTTTAACTTGACAAAAATCGAAATTACAAATTAAATTAATTATAAAATCTGTGGACCTAATTTTAAAGGTTATTATTTTTTTCGACCAACTATAACGGCCCAAGCGCTACCGAAAGTTGATGGAGTTCGCACTTTCTGGAGAGAGCGTAGCTTTGCACAAACGCGGAGCGCAAAAGTGTGTCATTTACACCCAGCACACACAGTCATTTGAAAATTAGTTATCATTATGGACAATATAGCTACAAACATGTAGTACAATAATTAAATAATATCAATATAATAAATCTGAACTGTTTTGAATGTAGATAAAATATATTTTTAACACACTATTTTGGGTTTATTTCTTTTATAATGTTTTTTTTGATAATGAGTTAATAGTAATGAGTCCTACGGAGTTCCGCTTTTAATTTATTAAAATTAAAATCTCTAATGTATGTTGATACAGGTCTAAAAAAATAGATTTCCCAAATCTGTCCTTTTCTTCAAACAGCCCCTTTATTTGCGGGGAGTCGCACTGATTTCTATATCAGTACTATAATATCAAGAAAGGATTTTTTTAGTTTTAAGAAGACAGATATCCTAAATTATGAATTACTCAGTTTATTACAAGCTTAATTAGGAAACGAAAATAAAGTCCTCCTACTCTGGGTGCCTGCTTACCAAGGGATAAAAGGCTTTAAAATGGCATTTGCAAGATGAAAAAGCAAATGATCTAGCTATAGGAAAGGAGCGAACACTCCACTAACTGGACCAGAACCGTTCTGTTTTCCAAACTGGAACCAACTGAAAGCGGAACTGAAGAATCTGGAAGACTCAATCCGTAACTTGGAATGGGTATCCTCCAACGCAACGGTCTAAGACACTCGGAAAAGTTCCTCAGAACTGACGACCGAGAAAAATCAAAGGTTTTCCTTGACTTAAGTAAAAACAATCTTCGGATTGTCACGGGGTTTCTAACAGGACACTGTCTCCTCAACGAACACCTCAGTAGGCTGAAGCTGAGAAACAATGGCAAATGCAGATTCTGTGGGGAAAATGGGAAAACACCAGAACACCTTATCACTGAGTGCGCCGAGACGACGACCATTCGTGCCATGAACTTTGGTACGGCTGATGTCGAGGATGGAGAGCTGGCCTCTGTGGAGCCGTCTCAGATACTGGCTTTTGTTAAAGCCTTGAGACTGTATGATGAGTTATAACTCGTTATAACTCAAGAAAGGGACACATAAGGGAAAAACACACAATAGATCTGTAAGTTCGCGGTGATTAACTCCCCTCCTAAACATTCTACATTCTATTACAAATTTTTTTTCATATATTATTGACAGTAGAAAAAAAAATAAAATGGCTGTGTTGGGTGTAAATGACTCTTTTGCGCTCCCGAAAGGTGCAAACTGCATCAATTTTCGGTAACGTTTGCACTATAGTTGAATGGAAAAAATTATAATATTTAAAATTAGCCCTACAAAAACAATGAGAGAAATAATGTGTGGATAAACATACGAAAAGAAATTAATCTGGATTTTTGTCAAGCTAAACATATCATTTTGCCGTGAGTTAAACAAAAAATGGACATAAAATATATAATCGAACTAAAAAATTATTTATAAATTGCCTGTTACCTGGTGACTAGACTTATTTTGGAGTTCTTCACCATTTTCTTCGCAATTGAGAAAGGAATGAGCGCAGTAGTGGAGCTCGAGCCAAAACTCCGGAATGGCGGAGGGAGCGGCACCCTTTACCGGAGGGCAGACCACCTCCGGAAATGTTAGTATAGCAGTGACAGGACTTTCCGGATAGGTCTTTATGTTTTCCGGGGTGACGACTAGTTGTGGCATTGGCCATCGCACATCCAGACTTCTGGTTATGATTTGCGAGTCAGTTAAATCGGTCGAATTTACCCCTGAAATGTATAATTATGGTGTTACGGCTGGTATAAAACATGAATGTATTATCGGAGGTAATAAACAAGTTGTATAGAACTTATACCGACAATTATACCATAAGGTCGAAAAAAACGAGGTCGAGGACAGTTGAGGAATGACAATTTTGGTTTGGTTTGGTTTGATTTAATTTGGTGAATAAAAATCGATAAAAATTTTGGCGAGGTCAAGGCCTAAAAGTCATTTACTTGGCCCTAGAAGTCATTACTTTTCCTTATTTTTTAACAGCTTTTAGTATCAGTTGACCTTAACAAGTTTTTAATTTATGTTTATAGATACATAGATAGATAGATATTAATTTATTTGTTCCGATTAAACAAAAGTTAGAAGAGCCCGCAGGCATGCAACATTGTGAAAATGGCAAAAAGCAAAACTTGCGACTTATATAAAATACAAATAAATACACTTAAATAAGGAAGACAAACGAGAATAATACTTGACAACAAAAAATATAAAATATATGCTTCGAAAATTATTGTACAGTGCAAAATAAATAGTCTTTCTAACCGCACTACATGAGTAGCAACAACTAACTCAAAAGTCCACCCTACATTTACTAAATCGGTCGAATTGGTTAATTAGTATGCCTTTTTGGTTAAATAATCATTTAGTATAGTTATAATCTTTCCTTGAGACATGACTGCAACTTTTCGGGGAAACCATTAAATATTTTTATAATCGAATACTCAGGATTCCTCTGTATAATGGTAAAATTGCATTTCCTAGGTATAAGATTATATATTTATTTCTGGTATCATACTCGTGATCACTAACAGAGCCTACAAAGATATCTCTATTACTGATCACAAACATATAGGCATCGCAAACATTCATGCCTGTCAGCGTCAATATACCCTTCTACAAAAACACTCTTACACCCAAGTAACAAAATTCCGACTTCCGACTAGTTTTGACTACGCGCAACGTTGAAATTGGTACTTTTCCCTGCCCTATGCATACCCAAACCTCAAATTACGTAGCCAAAACGTCGCTACGACCTTGCACTTAAACAGTTGTATATTTTGACCCTTAACAACGTTCGTAAACGTTGTCGGGCACAACGTTGTTAGAAGTGGGGTTTTATACCGTTGTCATTACGTCGCCAGAAGGCATGTTTATTGTACTACAGAATAACAAACGTAGTACAACGTTGTGCAACGTACTTTTAAATTACGAGTGTAAGTACATACTAACTACAACGTAATACAACGTTTCATTAAACGACCCAAAGCAACTTCAAAATTATAACCAATTACTACGTTGGATTACAGCGACGAGCACGTCCACGAACGCGACGATATCGATTTTTGTTATGGAAGCGGAACTATCTACACCTAACCTCAAAAAATTCTGTACTGTAGTGTCACAGAGCAATTGGTTAGGTATTTTTTCTCTGGTACTTACTGTGTAAAGCGAAAAGAAGATGTATAGGAAAAAAGTATATAAATACTCTACAACTTTTTATAGAAAAAGGAAACAGTATTTAGAAGAAAGTCAGCGAGCAAGTTAGTGTCCGTAAAATGAAGTGAAAATAACGAGTTTAGGTTCGTCATCCACATCCTCGCAATGTGCTACTGGTGGTAGTTATCATCAATGGATACTATAGAAATAAATAACAGTACACCTGAAGCCCATACCACAGAGGAATACTATGAGAATAATGATCCTCCAGAAGAGCAGTCAACTGAAATTCATCCTGCCGTCCTTTCGACCAAAAAATAAAAAAAAATTAAGTCAGTGGAGTGTACAAAATAATATATCCCATTCAGCTGTAAACTAGCTTTTAAAAGGATTATCATCTTGTGGTATAAAAGGGCTGCCGATTGATGCACGTGGAGTGGTAAGATCAACAATACTTCCTGTACGGCTTGTTTAACAATAAATAATTAGAAATACAGATCTAATGTCAGCGATCTTATTAACGGGATGATGATATTATAAAGGATGACCCAGCTTTCTTCTTTATTTTATTTTTCCTTGGTAAAAAAGAGCACTGTAAGAAGGAATTTTGTTATTTACCTCCTAGATGTCGGTAGGGTTCAGAGGTCCTATTTCGTCAAAGCAAGTGTCAATTTCTGAACCAAAGGTTGGCATAGGTGACCCAAAGGTCGTTTACCGCAGCTTATGCACTATATTGGTATTTTAAAGGTTGCTTTAGGAAACTCCGCCATTTTAATACGATTTATGTTTTCGTGCGTTGTGGACGAATCGAATAAAATATCAGAAACCACAAAATACTGCGAATTTCGTTAAAAAACTGTATCTGTTAGGGTTGTAAGCTAATTTTTCTGATAGATTTCGTATATTTGTCTCAAACTTAAACAAAAAAAAGTTAGGTTAACCAAGTAAACTATAATTTTAAAATTAAAACTAGGAAATAAAAAAGGGGTTTGGCAAAATTTGGAAGTATTATGGTCACTTTCAACAGTAAACTAATCTTTGTTGATGAATTTCAATTACCGACATCTCAAAACTTTGCAGATTTGTCGAAGTTAAATTCACCTAGTTATTTCTTAATTGAGCATAATATATTCCATTTCTAGCTCATACATCATTCAATTTGATTTCCCCATGGTTGAATATAGTAATATTTGACGACGAATATTTTTAACTCTAACCCCAAAATATCGCAAATCGGCATGAAAAACAACTTTTAGCACACGACGTACTACGTCGCCTCAAACAACGTTGTAGCGACCCTAAAAACATCCACCATTTTGGTGCAAATATGGGTCGCTTAGACGTCGCTTCGACGTTGTCCGGCAATGTTGGGTTGCTCCTGGCGACGTTGTGATTACGTTGAACAACGTAATTTTGCTGCTTGGGTAGCTTTCTAAAAATATATTGTGTAAAAATCATTTTTAAATTGTGTAGTTTAAAATTCGAGAAAAATATTTTTTTGGAAATTGATTTCTGCAATGAAAGTATTTAACATACGTAAAATCTAAAAGATTTTTGGTTTTACCTTATTAAGTAATTGTTATCAGGTAGTAATTGTTAATTTTGAAGTTTAACTTGGATATAATGTTATTTTACAGAACGTCAACGTTTTTTTTGTAGACTTATCTGTTTAAAAAAAAACAGTTGCATTTAGATATTTTAAGTAGTTTTTTTTCTTTGTGTTTTGTGTTTTTTTGCTTCCAACGGCGGAAAGAGATACTTTCCGAAACGTCAAGCATTTTTTGTCCTTTAGACAAATTTGTTTATTAGTAAACCACTGCTTACAATTAGTCTCCGTTAGATTAACGCAGCAGTGTTTACAAAAAATAACTATTTTATTTTGTAGATTTTCTTTCAGTGGCGAATTACCCATAGGATTTTTTTGGAAAGATGAATCCGCCACAGAGGTATAGACATTTTTTCCAAACCGTTCTATCCTTTTTTAATCTTTCTATAAGTAGTATTAATTTTTGACAAGTTTTATGTCAATTTTTACTAAACGAGGTTGTAGAAACTGACCTCGTCAAAATTATCATCGATTGACTTTTCCCATCCGTCTTTGACGCCGTTTTTTTTCTCGGTCATATGGTACTTTAGTATACAATAAGTTTTTCCAAATTGCTATTATTGAACCAACAAGAAAACATTTATCTACAAGGCAATATTTATTCTTCTTATTATCAATTAAAAAAAATCTCTATATTTGCAAAAATAGGAAAGTATCAAATATACAAAAAAGTTGGTCACAATTTGACTCCCGCATTTAAAAATATGAACTCCACAAATATTGATATTTGTTATCTAAAAATACTTTATTTTTAAAACTGAAATCAAGTTAAATTTAAAAGAACTCACAAAATTTCAACTTACCAACTATGGGCTGTTTTTTAATCTGTACATAATACTGTCCACCTCTAGAAAAATATCCACAATTAATTTTAGCTACAGTAAGGTTTCGCTTTAAAGCACTTGCTTCCGGATAGACCGGAAATGTCGTTAGGGGTTGTGCAACGTTACCCTCTAGACGTGACAGTTGCACCACCAACGGTAAGAAAGACGACGAAACTATTTCTACGTTTAGGTCCCCGCTAAGAGCAATGTGCGATGGAGGCATTCTTATATCGATGCCGGGTATTTTAGCACCTGCAATTAAAGAAAGGATATATCATTAAGAGATAACAAAAATTAACCCTGTTATATTTATGGGAACAAATACTAAATTAATGTTAATATTAACTCAACTCCCTGACAGGAACACCAGAGGTAATTCCTCTGGTGTTCCTGCCTCTTTTGTATTACCAACAGTATACATTATCCTAGGTCCATTTGTATTTTGCAAAGATAAAAATATTTGTTTTATTTCGTATGTTCTTTCTTGATAGCAAATATATTGAAATGGCGATTAAAAAGCTTAAGCCTACACTAACATCTGGTTACGATAATGTGACGTGTTTACAACTCCGCTTAAGACAATTTTTAATATTTCCTTCAGTTTGGGAACTTTTCCTACGATATGGAAAACTGCTAGAGTCTGTCCTATTTTTAAAAATAGAGATATGTCTTATATACCGAATTATAGACCGGTTGCATTGTTGTCCAATTTATTATCTATATTATATTATTTATCTATATATCCTTATCAGCATGGATTTGTGGCAAATAAATCGACAGTTACTAACTGTACTAACTTGGTGACGCTTTCCGAGTTTCTTTCAATTGGATAATAATTGCCGAGTTGATGTGATATATACTGATATATCTAAGGCAGGTGAATTAATCCAGTGGAAAAGACAAGCGCTAGGAGTAAAATTTCAAGGCCGCGACACACGAGCTAGAGAGGTGACATGCGAGACGAAAAGAAGTAACGATGGTAAATATATGGTATAGTGGTAAGCCAATGAGGAAGTTGAGATGGGTCTTTGGAGCTCGCAACTCGGACCCTATGTGAACTAGAGGGCTGAAATTCGGGATGTAATCTCGAGCTCCATTTTTTCATGATATTTTTAGGCATTTCGTGCACTGTGAAAAAATCGTTCGATTTAAATGAAATCTGGTATGTCGATTGATTGCACCAAGGCCAACTTAACCGTGTACGATACGTGTCACTGTGCCAGGTAGTTTTAACGTCAAATGTTGATGTCATCCGATTGCGACCAAATTTGGGGGGTCGATGATCGAAATATCAACGACGATGCATGACGGTCCCACCCGGCAAAGTTGGATACAACGTTTCGTTTATATCTTCATCAGGATGGAATTAAGGATTTGATATTGAAGAAAAATGTGGGTCGATTTCGGCATAATTGGAGACGAGCTACAGGAAGACGCCCTCGACGTTACGAAGCGATGTCTCTAAATGGACGAAATCATTTTTCTTAATTATGGGCCGATTGGAACTCGACACGTGGATAGAGGTACCAGAATGGAGTGCCCAGACGGACAGACAAGGAAGTTATTTTAATACAAATTTTATTATTTTATTAAAGTAAATCAATTTATTTGTCAATTTTTAATTTATTACTTTTAAAACATTTCAAACCACACTTTTTCAAACATGTTCTTCAAATCCTTCAATTCAATAGCTGTTAGTAAGAAGTTTCACTTGAAATATGGGCACATAGTGCAAATACAATTTTTTTCTTACTATCACGAATTAAATACACCCTAAACATTTTCAGATAATAAATGATTCGGGAAAGGCGAAAATAATTTTCTTAAATTAATTATTTTTCATTAAAATAATTGTATTGAATCATAAACTATCCAGTTAGCTTCAGTAAAATTTTAACAGCAACATATATCTCATATAAACCACACCATAATAATACATATCACACCATAATAATGACGGTCCTTTACATAAACTGTTACTATTGTGAGAGTAATAAAGTATAAAATAATTAATTAAAGTTCACTAAAGCTACGGTAATATCTAACATAAAGCAAACAACTACAATTAATATGCAATATGTTTACATGGAACTTAATCGTTTTATAATATTTAAACAAAATAAGTTTTATGTTCCCTAAAATAGTTTGGAAACAACTCCCATCCATTAGAAGTGACTTTAAGCTTTCCATTTCAATTAGCCACAAAATCGATGGACTGATTCAATTAGAAAGTTCAGCACCGATACCGCTTCGTCTCTAAAACTAAATATACAATGATATGATTAAAAAATTGAAATAAATCATCTAATTAAGTTTGGGCCTGTGAGTAACTAAATTTCATTTGAATAATGATTCATTAATGGACTAATGTTGTTCGAATTTTTGTTTATTAATTTTAAAACAAATATCAGTGTTTAGTATTTACAAAATATAGTTGTTATAGCAAATATCCGCTATCGCAAAATTAACTCCAATTGTGACTCCAAATAATACAAAATATACGCTTACGATTGAGATTTCTGGTAAAAAAATTTAAGCGTTAAACATTTTACAAAAAATAAATGAATTAAATATTTCCCCGTTTATCATAAATTAGGCCGATTTGTTTTGTTTTTAACTATTTAATTTTTTAATCGTATCATTAGAATAAAAATATTTTTCAAAGCTTTATCGCTACAAAATCGTAATCAGAAAAACCAATAGAATGTATTTTTTGTTACATCCACAAATCCATCACAAAGGTATATCACGCCATCCAAAAGGTATATCACACAGCCACCCGAGATTTTTGCAAATAATAAAGATCTACTGACGTAAAATCATAATCAGCAAAACTTAATAATATTTTGAAGATATATAACTTCCCCATTGAACACCGGAATAATACCATTTAAAATAAAGGAGTAACTTGCTTTTAAAAGTGACTAATGTGCCATATTAATTTTGTCTCACCCTGTATAACTTTTTGGATCAAATTTCAATTTGGTTTAAAATACAATGGTTACTGTAATTAAATATCAGGCTATACAAGGTCAACTAAAATTTAGGTAGCTGTTATTGAAATTTAAAATTTACTCATCATTTTCACAAAATGTGAAATAATAAAACTCATTTTTATTTTTTTCATAGAATCCGGAAATCAATTAATATACAGGGTGTTCCATTAGAAAAACCACAATTTTGATGTGTAACTTTTTTGGGGGACACCCTGTATAATTCTATATATTTTTATAAAATGCTCTTAGTTAACCTACATATTGTCAAAATTACATTTCGATATAAACTGCCGTTCTCCTTGGAGCTTCCGCGGCGTATGAGAGGCATCACCCTGTACATATAACTTATAAATTCCCACCAGTCGGCGCTCTGAATCCCAAATCCTTACAAATATTAAATAGAATTAGGCAAAGTTCGTCTTTGAACCTTTTATGTAGAGTATAGAACACGCTGCCAGATATTAAATCCATTTTTAGACTGTTTCACATTTTTATATTTTTATTTCCCGTTCGAACACATTTTCTGAACCAATTATTGGACTGTAAATTAATCAATGTCGATTTCAAGTCCAAATATAAGTATATATAATGCATAATAAAATAATCACAGGATTACATTCTCTCTTTTATTCGAATTCAAATATTCATTCAGAATTTATTATTATTAACCTTACGAAGAAAATTTCGACCTTTTGTGCTTGTTCTATGTCGTAGAAAACTTGTAGCTCGATCTTTTCACACAATTCAAGGACTGGGAAAAATCGAACTCTAAACCTATTTAAAAGTTGACCTATTCTATTTGGCTCTAATCCAGGATTCCAGTTTTATTCAATACTTGCGGAATAAAGCTCTGCCCATTTAATGAAATACGGCTTTGCAAAAATTCCGTTTCCTTTAAAAAGCCAAAGATGATTATTTTAAAACGATTTCTGTATTCAACAGAGCTCGCGTTTTATCTCCCTTTTATTACTTTTTATTAAGTGAGATTGCCATAATAAGTTTATTTGAGAACTTGAAATTTTATGAAGCTTGTTGGCTAATATGATATTATTTCTACTGTAATCCCTAAGAAATTTGAAGGATTTTCTTTATTGTTTATTTCATGGAAAATTATCTACGTGCTATCCATTTAACTCATCAATGCGTTAAATATACAGGGTCGTCCAAACTGTATTCGGACCCACCATAAAAACAAATAAAAAAGTTCGTATAAATAATGTCCTAAATTGCTTAGTTTTGGAAATAACGGGGTAATCAAATAATTTCTGAAGTAACGTCAATATTTAGATGAAAATTGGTGTCTGGGAGAGTTTTTTGCCATGAGAAATTTGATTTTGATGTCAATATGACTCCTACATGTAGAGGGCGCCACCTACATATTTTAACTACCGTACCTGTATAAAACTACTGAGTAAAAAAATCAATTCACGACGTTTTTACGTAAAAAAGGTCTCTTGGTAAAAATCGCTACGAGTAATGGTTCTTGAGATATTTGGAATCGAAATTATCAATACCTCTCATCATTGACATAAATTAAATATGTTGACTAAATAGTTGTTAGACTGAAATCAGAAAATTGAAATGTTATTGTACTAAAAGTTCAACAGAAACTGTTTTTTCATCATTTTTTCTAAGACAAATTTATAATTAATTTAAAAAAATAATAAGTTCCTAAATTAATAATTTCAGTCAAATAACTATCTACTCAACATATTTAATGTTTTGTCAATAATGACAGGTATTGACTATTTCTATTCTAAATATCTCGAGGACGGTTGTTCGTAGAGATTTTTACTAAGAGACATTTTTTACGTAAAAAATCACGGAAATGTATATTTTTTCACTCAGTAGGTGCATACAGGTACGGACGAAAAGTTATTACAAAATAATTAAAACACACAAGGTTGCGCCCCCTACAAATAGAAGTCATATTGACATCAAAATCAAATTTCTTATGTCAAAAAACTCCCAGACATCAATTTTCATCCAAATATTAACGTTACTACCGAAATTATTTGGAAAAAATCGAAATAAATATGAAGCGTTTACACCCTCTATCTCCGAAACTACGCATTTTAGGACAAACATTTATACGAAGTTTTTTACTTATTTTTATCTGCAGAATATGCTGCCGAAGTTTCCGAAATCCAGTTCGGACCACCCTGTATAATATACAAAACGATTATTTTTGTCCCCATCCTTGACAGTTTAATAGTACGATATGAAAGTTGATGTATAAAATAGACAACATTAAAT